TTGTATTTTTTATTTGATACAAGACTTTTTGGAGAATGTCTCTTTTTAATAACGATACGATATTTTTAGAGTCTTTATTAAACCAAAGTCATTCAATTGGAAAAAATTAAATAAGTTTTAATGTTTTATAACTCTTTATTTTTTTTACAATGTGCACTTGTACCATTTCCACACATTGAAATAATGGTACGAGACGAAAATTGTGTCTTTTATTTTTTATTTCGATATGATAGACTTTCCTAAAATTGTCTTGTTTAAATAACGATAGGAGTTCTCTGGTAATGTTATTAAAAGATACGAGATTTTTCGTATCGTTTTATAATCGTATCGTTTTATTTCTTTTACCGTTATTATTATTAAATCTCTGTCGATTGGTAACGAAAATAACGGTTCGAGACGCAGGTGCATAGTATAAGATTCTATATATTATTTTGTTGACATTGTAATACAGTATATTTTCGAATATTTTAAAATTGTGTTATACTTTGATTTATAAATTAATTTTAATGAGCTCAGTGAATTAAACAGAAACTGTAAAGAAGTATTGGACTTAATTATGGAAGTTTTTGGTCCTTGTTATTATCTCTCAAACAACCTAAGTGCACCACAGTTTTGAAGTTTCCTGTATCTGATGTGTTACAACGTCATTCCTGGTCTTGCTTGTAGTATAGTTTATAATTTGATTAGCACAAAATGGCAATACCAAAATAAAATACCGTGATTGTACTTTTTGGACTTTTTTAAATTTTAGATGTTTTTCAGATCATGTTTTGAAACGGAATAAAATTAAAAAAAATACTTTTAAAATTATGCTGCGTGTTTAAACTCTAGTGTAATTTTTGAAAGAAATGTTCATGTTTTAATTCTCGTGTTTTAATTCGCGGCATTCTTTTCTTTTCTTTAAACGAGTTATTTGCTACAAATTTTTGTACCAGATCCCCGTTTTTTGTTGGCTTCTCTAAAAAGAATTACATTTATACTAATATAAATTGTTTTAATTTCACACGTAGTGGCAGTTGATGACTCAACTTCCTTCATTGTTTTTTGGCCCAAGGTGACATAAAAATTACATCACAAAACGGACCGGATTCGCGTACATCCAGATGTTTATGTTTCGGCAGTAGATACCGTCAGTGAAACAAGACGTTGCTCGTATATCAAAATTAGTCGAATGGAATAGAATTAGTCTATTGTTAACAGTTCAACGTAATCGACAAATTTTTACTGTTAATTTGAAACAAGAAATAGCGAATGGTCAGAGAAAAGTTACTAAAGGTTTTTTATAACTAAAAATTGTACGAAGCCGCAAAAATAAATGTTACGATAACTGTTAGCGATATTGATACCTGTAGTGTTCAATTACCAATTCATGCACATAAAATTTTGATTTTCAGCACACACCACACACACACACACATATATATAGCTATCACAATACGTGGGCTAGTAATACTTGGTACATATATATTTATTCAATCGCTAGGGTTTAGACTTTTTTAATACTAAACGTTTTTCTTTTATTATTATAACGTATTATTATATTTTTTTGTTTTCATACATTTCAATTAAAGCTAAAACTTATATTTTATAAATATGCTGTATTAATTTGTCGCAAAAACACTATAGTTTATACGCCCCATTGCAACCGCTGAAACGGAAAAATAAAAAGCCATGGGTAAGTGATGAAATAATCAAATTATCAAAGAAACAGAATAAACTCTATATAAAAAAAAACAATTTCAACACCTACTACAGAGAATATAAATAAATATAAGCGATTCAGAAATTATTTTACATCATTTAAACGAAAGGAAAAAAAAAATTACTTTAGTCAAAGATTTAATGATGCAAAAAGCTGTTCAAAGAAAAAGTGGGAGATAATAAATGGTATAATGAATAAAAATCAACAGTTGAATGATATCAATAAAATAAAAGTCAACAATAACATAATCGATAATGCAGAAGAAATGTGTAACTGTTTCAATGAATATTTTATTAAAATTACTGAAAATTTGCTTGAAAATCAAACAGTTAATGAATCTTCAAAAATAAACAACTACATTTGTAAATCCATATACATTAACTCCACTGATGAACTTGAGGTATTAACAGTCGTCAAAAATCTTAGCAATAAAAAAAGCACCTCTGATGACTCATTAAGTAATTATCTCTTAAAACAAATCATCTCAGAAATTGTACATCCAATAACACATATATTCAATTTGTCCATCAGTCAAGGAATATTCCCAAAATGCTTCAAAACATCCAAGATAATACTTATAGCAATTATAGACCAATATCCCTTCTCTCACCTATTTCTAAAGTACTGGACAAAATTATATTTATCAGAATAACTTCATTCTTGAATATTAATAATTTATTAAATAAAAATCAATATGGATATAGAACACAACATTTAACTGAACTAGCAGTACTACATTTAGTACAAAACATATTAAATAATCTGAATAAAAAAATCCTAACCATAGGTGTTTTCATAGACCTGTCCAAGGCATTTGATGTTATTAATCATGAGATATTAATAAAGAAATTATACTTCTATGGAATAAGAGGAATAGCACATACATGATTCATAAGCTATCTGCAAAACAGAAATCAGTATGTGTCGATAAAAAATAAATCTTCAAATAAATTAAATATAACTTCAAGAGTCCTGCAAGGATCAATCTTAGGCCCACTTCTATTTATAATTTTTATGAATGATTTTCATTTGGCTACTGACGCTCATCATCTTCTGTATGCAGATGATACTAACATTTTCTTCCCAACTAGCAATCCATCAAACGATGTAGAGATAATTAATAAAAGTTTAGATGATGTTTCAAATTGGTTCATCAATAATAAATTAATTGTAAATTTTTCTAAATGCAACTACATTCTATTTGGTCTAAAAATATTGACTAACACAATACCTAATTTAGATATAAAAATGAATAACCATAGCATCCCGCGTACATCCAGCACAAAATTTCTCGGAGTGATAATCAAGGACAACCTCTCGTGGGATATGCATATAGACTCGTTATCGAAAAAAATTAATAAAACCATAGGCGTAATTAATAAAATTAAAGTAAGATTGAATAAACCAATAATTATAGATTTGTATTATTCATTAATCTATCCACATCTAATATACTGCAACATCATCTGGGGAAACAGCCCTGAAGTTCACTTGAAGCAAATTACCAGATGTCAAAATCGTTTCATCAAAATTCTATTAAATCTACATCCATATAGTCATGTCAGCTGTTATTATCCTGAACTGAAAATTGTAAACATAAAAAATTTGTATAATTATCATGTTTCTATCTTTGTGTTCAAGTTCCTACATTATCAATTACCAACATCTTTTAATGACTTCTTTGAATTCGGAAATGCTGTGCAGTCAAAGTTCACTCGACATTCTCCTCTGCTCTATACACCACCTGCAAGAATAACACTGCTTGGTGGAAGTTTAAAACATACCGGTCCCGGAATCTGGGAGAAACTTCCTGTTGATATAAAGACTACAAATTCCTTGCATTTGTTTAAAAACAAAATAAAGAAATATTTATTGAAAAAAAGTACAATTTTTATTTAATTAGAATCATGTAAATTGTGCATTATGTTAATTTTGTCATGAATTATAAATTTACTTAAAAATTGTGTTAGAATGAACAATTTGTGAACGGTAGCATGCGACACAAGAATTTTGTTTTCTTTTAGCTTTGGTCTCCTAATCATTACCTAATTATTATTAATTTGGACTGATTGAATAAAATTTGATTTGATTTGATATTTTACCACGTATATATAGTTAAAATTTATTATTTATTATTAATCTTTACTATTTACAATTATAGTCATCACAAACGTTTTTTCAATTAAAATTATTTAAATTACACTTTTTGTTGCAATTGCATTAGTATTTGTTAATTTTGAGCTAAAATAAAAAATATTTTATTTTTTTTTTGTAAATTGAAATGTTCACGCGTTTAAGAACTATAGTTCAATTACTGTGCAAAGCATATTAATCATTAAATTAAACGGATCAACATTTTTATTAAATTACAGTCTAGTTTGGATAAACAGGGTTGGTTTGGCCACGCTTGCAAGAGCCTAAAGCAGAGAAATAACTTCACCAATCGAAAGCGGTAAATGCACTGTCGAAAATGTAAAAAACCAATGATAACATTAAAAAATAGAAATTCACAGATTGCATGACTTATTGCGAAGGAATAAATGCTTTTTAGTGTTAACTGAAAATGGTCCCAAAGGCAACGTTGAAAACCTACAGAGCATAATAACATGCAACAACAATGCCTTAGCCAAGTGGTTGGTTGATAACAAAACAATCGTATCCTAAAGATAATGCAAGACAATATAACTGACATACAATGTTTGTTGCAGCAAGTAGATAACACTGGTGTCATCAATGAAGCACAACGGCAAGCCACTCATACATCACATGATGAAAATGTTGCAATTGTTAAAAACAATTCGCCCGCAGGTGGTATTGATATATCATTTTTTAACTTTCTAGTTACTGATGACGCAAATTTGGAAATGTATGGGTAACGCTTTCAATCAAATTTTTTAAAATGTGCAAAAAACTGGAGAAAGTTTTGTTAAATATGATATTTTTGAGAATAAAATTGTCTATTAGAAGAGGCAAATATTTTTTAGATGCACACATAAATGGATTTTTGGCGATTTTTTTATTGTTTTAGGCAATTTTTAATCTGAATAAAGTTAAAATGTTATAAATAACAAATAAAAAACAATAATAAATTTTTTTTCATTTCATAAAACCTTTAAATATTTATTATTTAATCGGTTTTTTCATAATCCGCCTTTTACATATGCTTAATCGTTGCTGAGTTAAAACCGTCGCGAACATTACCTTCGTCCTCCCCTTATTCATTATCTAAGCTCACTTTTAGGTTTATTTTTACTCTCACACATTCTCATCTTACAAATATCAATCACCAAAATTTGTAATGGAGAATATCAATAAACGTCTCTCTCATAATAGTGAAATTGGCATCGCGTTAACGCGTGACAGGCGCTTAAATGCTGGAACTCGAATGTCTAAACTGCTTGAAGCAGAAGATGAAGACGACTTTTATAAAACGACCTATGGCGGCTTTATTGAGGTAAGTTGATGCAATGTTGGAATTTAATTTACAAAAGTCACTTGTCTGTCCCATAGTCATAATAGTAAAATTGGCGTCGCGTTACTGTTACTCTGTTACCACGGTATGTATGCCTGCATGTAATGGTGATCAGGGATATTAGCCAGGGATTTGTTGTTGAGAGTTGCATGCAGTGCTGGCTTTGGTTTACCCACTTTGGTCCGCAGTTATTACCACAATGGTGGTAAAATGTGAGATCAGTACTCCTATGGTATCGTCCATGTTTACAAACAATCATAATGTACTTCATAATCATAAATCATAATCATAATTTATTAAAACAATCATAATGTACTTTTAATAAATTAACTCCACCCATTTTTAATTATCTAGTGCTTGATTATTTATTTATATCAAATTGAAAATAATTTAATTAGGCAAGTTTTTTAGATCATTACTTGTCAAATAGTTGAAATAGTGAACATTAAATAAAAAAAAGTTAAAATATGAGTAAATTTCTGTTTTGATAACAATCAATGGCTTATGAAGTGCATTATGATTGTTTGTAAACATGGACGATACCATAGGAGTACTGATCTCACATTTTACCACCATTGTGGTTATAACTG